TGCAGGTATCTCTGGCTAAATTCTAAACGTGATTACCATGTATAATAAATTTGTATGTTTGATGTTACACAGATTTGTCTGATTAAATGAAGCAACAAAGGTTCGCTGGTTTCCGCAGTTACTCGGCACACCAACATTCTGACACGGTAACATTCGTTGCGCGTGCACCAGCGAACACCAGTGTCAGTCATCCGTGTCACCTGGCCTGGTCGTCAAGCTTCAATAGGGGCCCAAGCGAGGTGTAATTTAACCTTCTCTTTTGCACACATGTGTGGAGCCAGTGTGTTTCCAACGGCCCTTTTCAGGGCCACCCATCTCTCCCGAAAGAACGCTTTCATCCTTTGCTTTGCCAGTACAAACAACAATCCAAAAGAATCCACACCCTCCCCAGTCCTCTTGGAGGTACACGCCTACGAGTGACACCACGCCTCTATGTATGTTTGTATGGTTGTATGTATGGTTGTGTACACAAGTGGTATCACGTTTGCATGGGGACACGAATCAAACACCACGTATGTCTATTGATCTCTCGATCTCTTTCCTTATAAGTATAAATGTTATAAATAATAATATTAATAAACGTCTGTTTGAAGACCCGCACGACACCACGTTTGCATTGAGACACGTGTGACACTACGTTTGCATGGAGACACGAAGTACATCACGTTTGCAAACGTCACGCATGTGTATTGATCTAAACTTCTAGTAACGTCTGTTTGTAGTCACGCGTGGCACAACGTTTTGCATGGAGACACGCGTGACACCACGTCTGCATGGAGACACGAAGTACATCACGTCTGCATGGAGACACACGTGACAGTTCGCATGTAAACATACACGAGTGTCAACTCCTCGGCATGGATGAGCGAGTGACAACGTCATCATCCTATGGATAAACGTCTGTTTGAAGACACGCGTGGCACCACGTTTACACGGAGAGACGTAGTACATCACGTTTGCATGGAGACGCGTAGTACACCATGTGTGTTTGAAGACACGAAGTACACCACGTCTGTTTGAAGACACGTGTGACAGTACACATGCAAACATACACGAGTGCCAACTCCTCGGTATAAATAATAATCTTATGGATAAACGTCTGTTTGTAGACACGCATATGGCACCACGTTTGCATGGAAACACGTAGTACATGACGTTTGCATGGAGACACAAATGGTAACAGACACGTAAACATACACGAGTGCCAACTCCTCGGCGTGGATGAACGAAGGACAACGCCATCATCCTATGGATAAACATGCGTTTGTTGTCACGCGTGACACCACGTTTGCATGGCAACACGAAGTACATGACGTTTGCATGGAGACACACGTGACAGTACGTATGTAGACCTACACGAGAGCCAACTCCTCGGTATAAATAAACGAGTGACAACGTCATCATCCTATGGATCAATGTCTTTTTGAAGACACACATGACACTACGTTTTGCATGAAGACATGAAGTACATCACGTTTACATGGAGAGACGTACTACACCATGTGTGTTTGAAGACATGAAGTACATCACGTGTGCATGGAGACACGCGTGACAGTACACATGTAAACATACACGAGTGCCAGCACTTCGGTAAAAATGAACGAGTGACAACGTCATCATCCTATGGATAAACGTGTGTTTGTAGTCACGCGTGGCACCATGTTTGCATGGAGACACGAATGACAGTACGTGTACATGAAGACACGCGTGACAGTACACATGTAAACATACACGAGTGCCAGCACCTCGGTATTAATGAACGAGTGACAACGTCATCATCCTATGGATAAACGTGTGTTTGTAGTCACGCGTGTCACCATGTTTGCATGGAGACACGAATGACAGTACGTGTACATGAAGACAAGCGTGACAGTACACATGTAAACATACACGAGTGCCAGCACCTCGGTATAAATGAACGAGTGACAACGTCATCATCCTATGGATAAACGTGTGTTTGTAGTCACGAGTGGCACCATGTTTGCATGGAGACACGAATGACAGTACGTGTACATGAAGACACGCGTGACGTACACATGTAAACATACACGAGTGCCAGCACCTCGGTATAAATGAACGAGTGACAATGTATCACCCTATGGATAAACGTGTGTTTGTAGTCACGAGTGGCACCATGTTTGCATGGAGACACGAATGACAGTACGTGTACATGAAGACACGCGTGACGTACACATGTAAACATACACGAGTGCCAGCACCTCGGTATAAATAAACGAGTGACAATGCATCATCCTATGGATAAACGTGTGTTTGTAGTCACGCGTGGCACCATGTTTGCGTGGAGACACGAATGACAGTACGTAGGCATATACCTACATCACGTTCATGTCTGTGCCTGTCGATTCACCTTTAGAATTCAGCCAACACCTTTAGAATTCCACACCATGATCGTAGCGCTGAGGTGATTGCCACTCACCGACTTTTAACTTAGACGAACGGCTGTCATAGTGGGCTACAATACACGATCGCCTTGTGGAACGAGACCTTGCACCTCAAAGTTTACAAACACATCACCATACCCAATGACATGATTTGTGAAATGTTGTTGCAAAATCCTTCGCCGATATGACGTCAACCTAGCAACAAAGTGGCAGAGTCGTCGACTGTGTATGATAAGCTCGACTCAGTGAACTATCATCTCCACATGCCATCGCCACACACCAACCAAAACAAAACAAAACAAAGAACCCGACTCCCCTCCCGCCTTCCTCCCTCCTCCCTCCTCCTCCCTTCACCACCACCCTCCCTTCACCACTACCACCTTTTCTATTTCTATTTTTAGAACCACACCACAACAACAACCCTGTCGATCTTGTTCCCCCTCGTACGTGCGCTTCTCCGGGTTTTCCCCCCATCCCCGGACACGGAAGCGACGCCCTCTTGCATGCGTGCGCCACCGGACACGGATGCGACGCCATCTTGCATGCGCGCGCCACCGGACACGGATGCGACGCCATCTTGCAGGCGTGCGCCACCGGAAACGGAAGTGACACCATCTTGGATGCGCGCGCAGGTATCCCATCATGCACTGCGCAGGTCACGTGACCGGAAACGGATGTGCCGCCATCTTGGTCCCAGAATCTGGAGCGGTCCCAGAATCCCGAGCGGTCCTAGACCGATGCTAGTTACTACTGGAGTCTTGTGCCTGGATCCAAGTTTTGCTGTGAATCAAGTGACAGCTGCTGTCGATGAGCATATAACATCAGTTCTCCCTCTCTGATGCGCTCCGCATTTCACATTGCGCAGAGTGAAGCTTGAATGCATGGGGAACTAGTCTGAACAAACATACCCTTATGTCTTGAACACTGCAGGTATCTCTGGCTAAATTCTAAACGTGATTACCATGTATAATAAATTTGTATGTTTGATGTTACACAGATTTGTCTGATTAAATGAAGCAACAAAGGTTCGCTGGTTTCCGCAGTTACTCGGCACACCAACATTCTGACACGGTAACATTCGTTGCGCGTGCACCAGCGAACACCAGTGTCAGTCATCCGTGTCACCTGGCCTGGTCGTCAAGCTTCAATAGGGGCCCAAGCGAGGTGTAATTTAACCTTCTCTTTTGCACACATGTGTGGAGCCAGTGTCACACAACGATGGCTATGAACTGACTATACATTTGTGTGGCATCGGTACGTGAGGTTGACTGCCAACCGGTCGGCCATTGCCAGTTTTTTAACGCCACACTCAGCCATGTTCCAGCAAAATATATAACCTGTCAAAATGTCGGAAACCTTTTTCACAAACCAAAGATATCAATCTGAGGAATATGACAAAGTGTAATACTTGAAGTGGTGACTTTTACTATGTTGGGGGTGGGGGGATTGGGCATCTTCTGATGACTTTTGTTACATATTTCTTTCTCAAAACACAAAGTGAGTGAGTGAGTGAGTGAGTGAGTATGGTTTTACGCCGCTTTTAGCAATATTCCAGCATTATCACGGCGGGGGACACCAGAAATGGGCTTCACACATTGTACCCATGTCGGGAATCGAACCCGGGTCTTCGGCGTGACGAGCGAACGCTTTAATCACTAGGCTACCCGACCGCCCCCAAAACACAAAGACATTGAAAAAGATTGCGTTGTGAGATTCGTTAACATTTCTTTTAATTGAACAGATGCACAAATACAGAGAACCATGACAAAATGACTTATGAGACACACACAAAGAGACTTAAATAGACAGACGAGTTAAAAGACATTGTCATTGGGCGATATCATCGATCGTATTGGCATTTTGACACTTCTAAATTTATATTTCTAAAAAAACCATATAAATAAGATTGAACTGTGAGATTTATTGAGAGTATATTAATCTGTCATATGCAAACGTGCAGAAAGACATACATTTAACCAGAATTGACTTATGAGACAAATACAAACAATCCTAAACAGACAGAGAGATAGTGAAATGGGTAATTGTATAAATAGGAACATTAAGGTTGAAAGGTGCTAAATTATGAAAAATATTAATATTAATATCGATAATAAAATATTATTAGAATGAGCCTACAGTCAGGTTGTTGTTGTTAGCGTTTATTGTATGTTACTTACTTCTTTGTCAGCATTTTGTTTACGTGTACGGGATTATTGTTTGCATTGTTTATATATATGTGTGTGTGTGTGTGCGTGTGTGTGTGTGTTTATTTGCTGTCATTATATGCTCCGTAAGATATCTTTAGTGAGAAGATATTTGTAGTTTAACCAGGATATTTATCATATGGAGGGTTCACAATAAACCCATCGCAATATGCACCAATTGTAACCAATTATACTTCACACGAGGACACGGGCTTTCCTCCCACATTAAGCTGACACGCCGTGATATAACTGGAATACTGTTAAAAGCGGCGTTAAACCCAACTCACTCACTCACTCACTCACACGAGGACACCACATGCTGGGAATTTTACCACAAAACGTTTTGACACAGCCCCTATGTCCGGTATCTGTAAACGTGCGCGAGATACCCGCTTTCACGCATGTGGTGCAATCGCTCGGATCAACTCGGTTTCTTCCGCTATCACTGGAAATCTACGTCGTCGAGTGGTGCAATAACAAGATACCCATAAAAGATGCCGTGACGCTTGTGTCTGTCCAGTATCGACCGTGTAAACAACACAGGTAAGTCTCATTCCACACGAATATTAATGTGTCAATATGTATACAGTTATTATCAACGTTTGACAACCAGCAACGCGATAAGGAAGTAGGATTATTAACTTTTAGCAACAGAAAGTTTGCGGTGACAAGTTAGTATGGCTGTTCAAGCAATATCACGGTTGGGGTTACAAGAAAAGGACTTCACATATTGAAAATACTTAATACTAAACTCGCTTCCGTGTAATACCAGTTTTATGAAACGAGTGAATAGTTCTGGAATATGAATCGCTTTCGGGGGTGGTGGGGGTGGAATGGACCCGCGTATCACGAACACCGTATGTAAGACATTGTTAAATTTATTTGAAGCACGCATTTTGGTATTAAACAATGTGTAATACAGCTGTATGTTTATAAAAACGGGTGATCTCTTACCGGATGAGTAGTAAAAACGTTTATCAAATTGCTATCAGTGATATGAGGTATTTTGCATGTGCTATGAAGGGGTTGTACTCGTCTTGTCAATTAAGAATTGACTTCTGTGTGAGTTCATTGGAGTATGAACCTTCATAGAGTGAGGGCCAAACTGTATGAACGGCGGAGCTGAATGTTAGTCAGCCAGGGTAATACGAGTTACGTCCTTTGGTGCGTCGTCTGCGCGTCTGCGCGTCTTGCTTTTCTGTGACAATTTGGTCCAAACAAGGTGAAAATGTCTTGCATTCACTTGCAAATATATACATTTTACAATTTTATGTTATGGTATATGATAAAGAGGTTACTATATGGCAGTTTTCGTTTCATACCCGATACCAACACAAAGACGACATATCAGCCCGAGGGATATGATTGAGGGCAGATATGTATGGGATAACATGGGGTATGATATGAAAACTGCCGTATTATAACAGTATGTAGTAAGGAGACTGGGTATATTTTCAGAAACAGCTGCAAAAACAGATATTTTGTAAGTAAATTTATAAGCCTAAACATATTTTTTAAATACTTCATAGCCTGATAAGTTGCAGCATTTTCACGAGGGGGAAATGTTGTTTTATGCGCACCGCGTTAGATTTTATTCCAGGAGTCGGAGGTAAAAAAGTATATGTTCGGTCCGATGGTAAGTAAGTCTTGGCTTAGCGCCTCCCATTTCGGGTAAACCAGCCACCATACTGCTGGAATATTGCTGACGTTTGTATAACACCATAATCACTTGAACGCCGCCTTGGGCAGACTGATCATTAGTACCTCATATAACCCGAAGTGATGTAGGTGTTAGCACTGGACAAAATATCATCCATTCCAACATTTCCAAAACTTGGAAATACCGTCATTCCAATTGGAAATATGACCATTCCAAAATTTGGAAAGGTCATATTTCCAAGCTTGGAAATGTTTGGAAATGTTTGGAAATGTTTGGATTTGTTTGGATTTGTTTGGAAATGTTTGAATACATAGGTGATTTTATGTCTGCTTCTTCTGTCTGCTGGTTAAGCTGTTCAGATCGTTTCCAAAGTGGATTTGCTGCAATATTCTATCCCAACGCTTTAGTTGAATACATAATACTGTTTATAAATGTATTTGACGGTGCAACACATCAAGAATTTACTGCCGCTTCTTCAACTTGAGTGCACTTGAGATTATTATTACGTCGGTAATGCACTCTTTCAAGTGCATCTTTGGCTTAAAGCTTCAAACGAATGCTTTCATAAAATACCCCATTAGATACTTTTCAAATGTTAGGATGTGTTGGCAACACATCATGGTTTTATTGCCGCTTCTTTCAGTTCGTAGGCTTGTATAACGGAACATGGTGGACTTATATGTCTACATATTTGATTTTATGTCACCAAGCTCATTTGTCGATGAAAACATTTCATCTGTAATACGTTACATAAGTGTATCATACTTATGGCCATCATATATTTTGGCAATATTTAGATATCGCAACACATCATGATTTTATTTCAAAGATGCAAAATAAAGGTCACTGAGGGTAGATTTTTTATTTAATTTGTATATAGCGTAGTACAGTGAATTTCTCTTGGTTGTTTAACAAGCTCACATAAAAGATGTAAGCCTCAATAAATTAAGAATTATGTTTCTACTGGTGCTTCTTCTGGTTCTCAGTTTGTTGTTGCGCTTTGTTCAAATATTTTGTAATATGAACTTAGCACCATAAATGATTTGAAATTTATCACAGGATGTACACCACCACAAGAGAGGCATCGTGGTTTTACTAGTGCTATTTTACAAATCGAATATACCTTTATCAGACATGGCGATGCGATTGAACACCGGATTGGTACCCTGTTATATATGGCTGTTTCCCTCTCTGTTTCTCAGAACTAATCCATAAATTGATAGCATTATAACTAAACTGCTGTCGAGGTGTTCATTCCAAATCTTACATTTCACCAAGCCATGCAGAAATAACAAAAATACAAAACACAGGATGAACGTGAATTTATATTCAGGATATCATGTCATAGTTCAAGGTATATGTACAATAAATAACACTTGGGCACATCACTGGGTAATGATCATACATGTATACAATTATATCTACAATAATACACATACAAGAACTAAAATATAGAATGTACAATTAAAATTTCTATTTAAAGCAAAACTTTACAACAACAATAAACCAATAAATTACACACACACAAATCTGTCCCTTGGTGACACAAATGTAACTGTCCTGGTACCTATTTGTCCCTCAATTTTGACGAATTTACCCTTAATTCGTTGAATGGGCATAAACGAAGATGGACCAGAGTCAACATACATGGAAGAGTGCCAGGCTTCCACTGGTCGGCCACAATGGTTTTTTAGTTTATCTTCAAGTTCCCGATACCATTGAACTTCTGCAAGGATGTGTCTCTTCTCTATGCCGTCAACTCTTGCTGAGTGCTGAAGGTATCTCAATACCTTTCCAGGTCTCGGAGAAACCCCCCAACCAATTTTCCCGTCCCCGTCTGTCCAGTAGGCAGTGATGTAAGAAGATCTCACACTTTGAGACTTGGCAGATCCAAAGACTTCTGATCCAAGGTATAGAGTTTTTATTTCCCTAACGGCCGGCAAAGTCTCGACTGTTTCGCCATAGAGGGCTCTGTACATTTCTTGAAGGGAGTGTTCATCATTTTCAGTGAGGCCACGGACTTTATATTTTGAAAAAATGAACCTGTCAATGTCAGTCCACTGAAGGTTTTCAATGTGATGAAGTCGGGATGACATCTGTCGGAGCTGCAAGCATTCACTTGAATTAATCTTGCCAAGAGTACCCACTTTAATGTTAGCTGTAACAGTGGCGATGATCGGCTCAAGGGTGTCTCCAAAGTGAAACTCGTCATCTAAGACCAATCCAAGGAGATGAGAATGGCTTACGAAACGTCTCATCAGCTGCAGTTCTACGCTTTTCTTGTTAGTTGTGTAGTCGCCCAGCATACCATTAAACCGTTCAAAACTGAACAGCCAAAACGAGTAAATGGGTCCAAAGTCCTGAACACACTCTATCAGATGACCATGCAAGTGCATGTTAGGGGTAACTCTGTCACGGCCATATAATCGCTCAAAATTCTCACAGAAGCGCATCAGTAATAAATCTGCCATTTTTATGTCATTTTCAGTTAATACTCGGCAACACAAATATCTACAGGCCAATACAAAATTTCGCCAACATTCTAAATGATCATCAGAAATAACATCCTTCAGTGCATACACAGAAAACAGTAACGTCCAGTTTTTAAACTGGTCTGCACTAAACCCTGCAAAACCGGAGGAAATCTTATGGGGGATGCGACCAATGTCACTTGGACAGTTAACTGCATCCACCTTTGCTTGGATAGTGTCTAAGTTCTTGTCAGTTAGTACACCAGTGTCTCTCCATACATGCAACATATGTTTTGATGTCCCCAGAAACAAATTGTGCATAGGGTCCACAACAGACATTTTGATCAGATCAAGGTATGGCAGCTCAGACAAGACGGAGTATCTTGTTCCATACGAACTCGCAAGTGCTTCTCTATCTGTCTTGGTTCTGGCACTTGTGATGTGTCTAATTTCTCGTATATGCTTTTCATGGGTGCGAGGTATCCACTGAGTTCTGTCAAAACCACTGTAGTCTCTTTTGCCGAATTCACCAGGAAAAGACTTCTTGCACCGAGAACACCCTTTGACGGCTGCATGTCCCAGAAAGCCACATAACTTTCGGCAAGCAGGGATATCACATCCAATGCACATTAAGGCCAAGCGAAATATCTTAGAGTTGAATGAAAAACCTACTGTCCATGCTTCAAGAAGCTCATCAACTAAAGGTTGTACAAAACTGTTTGTAGGGGGTTCTTTCTTCATGTGCGGTATAATACCAACAATGATAACATTCTCACGTTTGTAACGTTCTTCTCGAGGTAGATTGAGGATGACTAAATACATTACACCTACAGAGTATTTGACGTGTTTGAATGGCTGAAACCAGTCTAAATTAAGCATAAGGCCATAGTTTCTCTTCTTCTTCAAATATGTCCCACTGAAGCTCTTCCAGATACGACCATCATACACGTCATGCAAAGTACCATCACTAACGACCCTGTCACGCCATTGTTCACATTTCTCCTCAAAACCTGGTCTTGACAAAAAGTTAAAAAGTGAATCTTTCAGAGATTTAAAATAATAGTTCTTATGTGGTACAAGCTTCTTCTTGCCAGAGGAAAGGGTCATACTTTGTAACAGTTGTGCACCACAAGGCTGGCGATAATGTCTCATTGGGTGATTAGGTTGGGAGACGTTTGAACAAGTCATACTGACTTCTTCTCCTTCGAAAACAGAAATACAGTCAGAATATCTATATATGCTACAGCATGCTGGGCATACAACATAGTGGAAAAAGTTATTGTCGTCAATTCTGAGTAATTTCTTGAGCAGGAAAATAGTACTTGGGAACATCGGTACTACAACAGCAAGGAACTTGTAATGCTGAGCGGCAACGGCGAGAAGGGCATGAAGGTATTTCAGAAGGAATGCGA